GGCCGGAACCGGCCCCTGGGCCTTAGTTTGCCTACCCATGTTCTAGCTCTTTCCGAGGGTTGTATAAAACTAAGTTTTACTAGGGCAGAGACCCACTGAAATTAACTTTGTCATGTCTATTAATTTCAGTGTGTCTACTTCTGGGCATAATTCATCTTGAATATGAGTGCAATGTAAGAATTGGCTTCCTTCTTGTAAAGCAACCACTTTGGGTAATTACTCCTTGATTTTTTACAAAAAGAAAGCCTTGATAGATCAGACCAGAAGTCCACTTGTTGTATTATTGTCTTTGCAACAGTGCTCATCCCGATGCTTGGGAGAAGTTGATGAACTGGGTATTATTTTTATTTACTGAATTTATATACCGCCCTATACCCAGAGGTCTCAGGGCTATTCACAGAACAAGATCAACATAAAATCCACAATATATATAAATAATATAATTTAATATAATATATGAATGTAACAGCACACACCCCCAGCCTGTTTCTTGCCCCCAGCATTTGGTATTCAAAAGTATCTGGCATTTATAAGTGAATTCATGATGTAGCTAAAAGGCACCATTCATGCACAAGAGGAACATCCCTGGTTGGGGGAATCCCAAGGTTTGGAGCAGGGGAACCTGTCAAAAAATAATTCTAACAGGGGTGGGACATTCCAATACAGCTCAAAGAATATGTTGTGTAAACTGAGCCCTGGTTGACTTGGAAGGGATGAGAATGGAATGGAGTGTGTTGAAAGAGGCATGGCTGGCTGGAATACTGCAACATTTTCTTGCAGATGCCACAGCTAATATGTTTTGAAAGACATCTAACGCCTGCTCCAGAATCAAACGTATCAAATCCCTGTACATCTATTTTCTCTGCTCTTTCTGCTCCGGGTACTAAATAAACATTAGAGCAAGCAGCACCTTTCAGGCACACTACCTCCCCCTGCCCCAGGTTAGATTTTAATTGTTTCGTGAGAAGGTATATTAGATTTTTATAGCATAGCTGCATCTAGGCGACATTGCACCACACTAGATTATGTTGTAAACCGCAACATAAGGCAACAGACTTATTAATGCAACAAACTTCAGTTAGCATCCAGTCCCAGGAATTCCCAAGGTCTTACAAAGAGGACAGACAGCCAATTGTTTTTAAAAACAAAAAGAAAGTTTCTTCCCAGAAACAGAGCTAGGCCCATGGGATGCAAATTTGTGGCTATAGCATGGGTAGGCAAACTAAGGCCCGGGGGCCGGATCTGGCCCAATCACCTTCTAAATCCGGCCCATGGAGGGTCCGGGAATCAGCGTGTTTTTACATGAGTAGAATGTGTCCTTTTATTTAAAATGAATCTCTGGGTTATTTGTGGGACTGCCTGGTGTTTTACACAAGTAGAATGTGTGCTTTTATTTATAATGCATCTCCGGGTTATGTGTGGGGCATAGGAATTCGTTCATTTTTCCCTCCAAAATATAGTCCGGCCCCCCACAAGGTCTGAGGGACAGTGGACCGGCCCCCTGCTGAAAAGGTTTGCTGACCCCTGGGCTAGAGGAACAGAGACATTTAGGGAACCATTGACAGATGTGGAGAGGCACCTTGTATTTAACAGTAGTGGGGAATACTGCATAGCGCATAGACTGATGGAAACTTACCCTTCCAAGAGTTGTGGTATGGACTCCATGTTCTAGGTAAAGGTAAAAAGGTAAACAATCCCTGGATGGTTAAGTCCAGTCAAAGGCGACTATGGAGTTGCGGCATTCATCTTGCTTTAAGGCCGAGGGAGCCGGCGTTTGTCCACAGACAGCTTTCCGAGTCATGTGGCCAGCATGACTAAACCGCTTCTGGTGCAATGGGACACCGTGATGGAAGCCAGAGTGCACGGAAATGCTGTTTACCTTCCCACCGCAGCGGTACCTATCTATCTACTTGCGCTGGCGTGCTTTCAAACTGCTAGGTTGGCAGAAGCTGGGATAGAGCAATGGGAGCTCATCCCGTTGTGGGGATTTGAACTACCGACCTTCTGATTAGCAAGCCCAAGAGACTCAGTGGTTTGGACTACAGCATGGTAGTGGCATTAATCGAGAGGCGCCAACAAATATTTTTGAGCTGCTGGTGTTTCCAGTGCTTTGAGGTCTGTGGGGACAGAAGCTATGGTTTCAAGCACCTATTTAGGATCAGGATGCAAGCCTGTACGAATTGCTTTACTTTATCCGTAAGACCGTAAAAAGAGCCTGCTGGATAAGGCAGATGGCCCAGCTAATCCAACAAACTTTCCCAACACCTTGCAAAGCTCTGGGAGTGGCTGTCTTGATCTGATCTTGCTATTGTATGTTTCCTTCCTGAGAAGAGGGTCTTTTCTTATCAGGGGAGTAAATTCACCTCATTATTGCACCCATTCCTCTCTCAAGAACAACAGTCACATCCTGGGGAAAGAGCTACATCATGTGTGTCAACAATGTGTTAGCTAGTTAATAATAATAATAATAATAATAATAATAATAATAATAATAATATATTTATACCCCACCCATCTGACTGGGTTTCCCCAGCCACTCTGGGTGGCTTCCAACTGGATATTAAAAACAATACAGCGTCAGACATTAAAAACTTCCCTAAATAGGGCCGCCTTCAGTTGTCTTTTAAAAGGAAAATAGTTGTATATTGCCTTGACATCTGCTGGGAGGGCGTTCCACAGGGCGGGTGCCACTACCAAGAAGGCCCTCTGCCTGGTTCCCTGTAACCTCACTTCTCGCAGTGAGGGAACCGCCAGAAGGCCCTCAGCGCTGGACCTCAGTGTCTGGGCTGAATGATGGGGGTGGAGATGCTCTTTCAGGTATACTGGACTGAGGACGTTTAGGGCTTTTATGGTCAGCACCATCACTTTGAATTGTGCTCAGAAACGTACTGGGAGCCAATGAAGAACTTTCAGGACTGGTGTTATATGGAGATGCAGCAGAGAATAAATAGGCGTGGGGGGATTGGATACTCTCTGGTTGACGTCTCCTTCCAGCAGTGGATTATTTCCAATCTCTGAACTAGTTGAAAGGAAGGGAGGGGGCAACTGGGATAAATTGTAAGGGAGAATGGGAGGGTGGCCGGGTAACCATCCACTCCATCTACAGATTCCCCTTTGCCAATTCCCCATCACAACAATAGTGTCACAAGTCAACCATTAAGTCTTGCTAGATGTAGTAAAGTTTGATTCAAAGCCAGATGCATGTTCATAGGACATGCCAGGACATGGGTTTCCTCCACACCTCCCACCTGCAGCATGTATACACATGTGAAACAGTCCCATGTGACAATCTACATGCAAGGAACACTTTTTTCTTACACACGTTTCCAGTGATTTCAGTAGTCCTTACTTCCTTGTTACATGCACAGAGATTTATTACACTTATGTTTAGGAAGGTCAATGCATCATAAAAGGGGCTTCCAGGCAGCTTCTCATCCAGACACTGATCAAATCTGGACCTTTTTTTAGGAGCGATTTCTCCACCGCTGCCATCCTGCTCCTTTTGCACTCAGAGTTTAGTTTAACAACCTGCAATTTCAGAGAGTCCCTGAAATAGCTTCCAGATCTGCAGCATAGATTGCTGCCTTGCTTTCAGCTATCAACTGATTTGATTGTATGTGTGTGTCACTCAAGAAGACTTGCCCAGAGGCACAAATGTTGATCTGGAAAAAGCCACAGGGAAAAAATGCTTATTTATTTATGAACATGAATGACAACTGGCACATATCCTCAGGGCACAACCATCCTGGAGTGCTGTGGGGGAATGAAGATGGCAGGTTGCTTTAACTGCAGCGAGACCCTGTAGGTCAGGTAACAGCTATCAACATTAAATCAGCCTAAAGCAGGGCTGGGAGCCCTTGCATGGAGAGAATCAGCTTGCAAGATTTCTCACGAGACTGCAGAATGGATATTACAGTAGGAAGATCTGTGAGAAGTACAGAACAACAATCAAGTCTTTGTGCTCAGTCCAATACTTCAGTCATGGCCCAACGCATCCCTCAAGAACCACAGGCAGGAAGAGCTTTCTCAGATAAGAATAAGTCCTGTTATTTAAGATGGAATTAACTTTCAAGTAAGACATGCTGTGGGTTAAACCACAGAGCCTAGGGCTTGCCGATCAGAAGGTCAGCAGTTCAAATCCCCATGATGGGATGAGCTCCCGTTGCTCGGTCCCTGCTCCTGCCAACCTAGCAGTTCGAAAGCACATCAAAGTGCAAGTAGATAAATAGGTACCGCTCCAGTGGGAAGGTAAACAGCGTTTCCGTGCACTGCTCTGGTTCGCCAGAAGCGGCTTTGTCATGCTGGCCACATGACCCGGAAGCTGTACGCCGGCTCCCTCGGCCAATAAAGCGAGATGAGCGCCACAACTCCAGAGTCGGTCACGACTAGACCTAATGGTCAGGGGTCCCTTTACCTTTATGATAATAGTTGGAAGATCTGTGGGAAGTACAGGACGGCAATCAAGTCTTTGTGCTCAGTCCAATACTTCAGTCATGGCCCAACGCATCCCTCCAGAACCACAGGCAGGAAGAGCTGGCTCAGATAAGAATAAGTCCTGTTATTTAAGATGGAATTAACTTTCAAGTAAGGCATGCTTTCATTTGCAGGCATGGGAAGCGTGGGGCTGTGGTCCTTCCCCCCCACCCCATATAAAATATTTGAGGGGGCTGACACCCCCGCAAAATAGTTGGTGGGCATTGCCATTGGGTGTGTGTTTGTGTCTTGTGATCGATTGCGCGGGGCCCCGCACATTTTATTCAAGTTGGCACCCCAGCTCTGTTTCGTGGAGGGGGAAAGCGCCTTTAGCTCGGGTCAAGCTCTGGGTTCGACTTCTGCGCTCGCTCGCCCCCGCCTTCCCCTTTCGGGGAATTCGAACGTGCCAATCAGGGGTCAGAGCGGGGGCGGTGCGCCTCCCTCTCCCCCCTTCTGTTTCAGCCACGAAGCCCCGCCCCCGTTGCAGACGTCACTCACGCCTTATAAAAGTGAAAGCCCCCCCCCCCCCCGGCAAAGTGCTGAAGTTGGGAAGAAGTTTTTGCTCACTGGCGACTCCCTGAACGGGTCGATTCGTGAGGAAGGCGGAGCTCATCCCGTTTCTCAGCCTTCTCTTTCTCCTTTATCTGTTTGGTCTCTATCCTGCCTGCCGGGAAACATGGTAAGTCGTGGGTCGGCTGCTCCTGTAGCCTCACCTCGGCTTCGGTTCTGGGGATTTTGGTGCCTTGGGAAAGGGAAAACAAGGCTGGTTAAAGCGCAATGCGTGTTTCCTCCTGGGTCTTGGGAAGGCGCGCAGGACTGTGTCCCGGGAGTGTCAGCTGGGCCCGTGGGTGCCATGCAGCGTGCACAGCCCTGGCCCCGAAATTTGTGGGTGCCTGGCCCCTTCGTGGGCAATTTTGTGGGTGCTCGGGCACCCCAGGGCGTTGGCACCGTGTCCTGCGCGTGTTGGCAGCCAGCTGGGTCTCCCGGAACACGTGTGTAGCGGTAAGCCGGTCACGGGTGTGGCTGAAGGGCACCAGGTTGAGATCTCGTGTGAATGGGGACGTGTGGCGTCGAGTTGCCCTTCCCTTCCCCTCGGGAAATGGCCCCTGGCTAGTCTTTCCTGGGCATCGGCTGCGCTGGAGCTTTTCTCTGACTCCTGCGATGGGGCCCAGCGCTTAGGAAAACAAAAAAAATCGAGGGAAGATCACTTGCGTGTAGGACGTGGGGATCGTAACGCGCAGACACGTGTCTGCTGGGCTGATGTCTTGAGGAGCCGCATCCAGGCTCTTTCCGCACGCCAGGCGTGGGGTGAGCAAACTAATGCTCTGAGGGTTAGGGATGTGGGCAGGATGCGCAGCTCTGTTGCCAGCTTCCTCATGTATAATAATAATAATAATATAATAATAATAATAATAGACATCCACTCCCACCCAACGGGCGAACCCGGCTCTGGGGAACTTTTCTGAATCTCGATTTAGCTGACGTGAGGTGCCTTCTCTGCCTGAGTCAGGCGCTGGATACTGATAATCCTGGGGGAGAGGGCTTGGAGTGTATTTGTTGCTCTCTTGCAGCTCTGTAGAGCCTGGTAGGAGATAAGCCAGAAGCAGGATTCATGGGTAGTCAAGGAGCAACAAGACAGGCCCAGGAGGATAATAGTATGCGCGAGAAACAGGGAGGGGTTGCTAGAAACCTCCCTTTATTCATTCTGAGAAATGGGTCTCCATGGATCTGCAAATAAGCTATTTCCAAGATCCTCCAGACTGCGCGGTTATCTTGCTTTTGCGATGCTCAGCGGCAGGACGTGACCCTCTTAAGCTCAGAATGACAGTTTCCTGGCACCATCTCCCTTCTTGACTTTGGACACGGCATGCTAAGACGCTTAACGCAGCAGGGTTCAAAAGATCTACACAAGCAGGGTGCAGAGAATGTGGTGGAAGGGGCCTGTCGAAGAACCGAACTTGTGCTTGCTTATTTTGGCTATTGGTTAAAAGAAGGAAGTGCTGTGAACCAGAGAGCTTCTCCAAATCACAGCTCTCTAAAAACCGCTCTGTTTCCAAATGCCCATTGCAAAAGTGCCAGCCTAAGCTGTTTGGGTAAGACTTAAAAGGCAAGCTCCTTTGGGCTTGGGTAGCATCTTGAAAGCGAAAGTAGCCAAGTTTGGACTTGCCAGCTGCTCTTGCAAAGAGATGCGCTAAACGGCCTCGGCTCAGTATACCTGAAGGAGCGTCTCCACCCCCATCATTCTGCCCGGACACTGAGGTCCAGTGCCGAGGGCCTTCTGGCGGTTCCCTCACTGCGAGAAGCAAAGCTACAGGGAACCAGGCAGAGGGCCTTCTCGGTAGTGGCGCCCACCCTGTGGAACACCCTCCCATCAGATGTCAAAGATGTCAAACTACCTGACATTTAGAAAACATCTGAAGGCACCCCTGTTCAGGGAAGTTTTTAATGTGTGACATTTTGATGTATTTTTAATCTTTGTTGGAAGCCGCCCAGAGTGGCTGGGGAAACCCAGCCAGATGGGCGGGGTACAAATAATAAATTATTATTATAAGGTGCTTTCTGCGGCATTGCATAATGCCCAGCTGCTGGTGAAAAGGACGAAACTTCTTTTAACTTGTGCTGGAAGATGTGGCACGTACAGCCAGAGTCAAGGAAGGACAATGGAAGGTAGAATTTTTATAATCGAAAAGGGATGTAGTAAAGCACTCAAGATGCAGTTGCAGCGTCAATAAAAAATGTATGAGGCTGCTCAGCAAGTAGTGATTTATTTACTTCATAAAGTTTATATACGTCTGCACCAGGGATGCCAACTTCAATAAAATATTCGGGGTGGGGGCAGGTAAGCCCCACCCCGCCTTGGATCTGTCGTGTGGGTAGTCTTCTCTTCTGTTTTCAGCTGTTGCTGAATACTGCCTCCACCGCAAACAACCAGCTACAGCAAGCCTAATCTAGTCAGGAATTCAAAATAGTTGGTTTCGAAACATCTACCCATTAGCATCTAGATTAGATGGGCACTCCTGAGGAAGCAAGCATTACAGACTAGGAACCACGACTCCCTTGAACTCAGGCTCCCCTATAATATCCAGACCTTGCCTATTTTTTTTATCAAGGGAAGAGCTCTGAGCACGGGGCCTGCATGTGGCTGTTACAGTCGGGCATCTCTCTGTGCAGATTATTAAAAGAATGGAAGCAGAACAGGCTCAAATTGAAGATGCCATAAATGTAACACAGTTAATCTTAGAATATAGTTGATGGCAGGGATAGCCATTAATGTAATAAATAAATTACAGCATTTGTTTGTGAGTGGGTGTTATTGGTTTTTTTGGTCATTTGTTTATTTTTTTAATTTTTTATTTCAATACATTTCCAAAGTTTACAAAAAAGTAAATAAAAGATACGTAAGATAGCAGCACAAAAGGATATAATGCAAAACATTGAAAAAAGATAAACTCAGCTTACGAACAGAAAAAAAGGAAAAAAGGGGGGAAACCGTAAACAAGACAGAAAAATATTTATCAACAACATTATTTAAGGAGTACAAACCATAACTTGAATAATCTATACACAAAATTATAAGAAGAAATTACCTTCATACTAGTTTGAGTCCCTTATTAGTTTTATTGACTTCCAACTATCTCTTTGCGGTTTCAACTTGGCTATTACATTTAAATAGCCTGTACAGTAATTAATTGTTTGTCCAGATATGATGGAAAAGTTTCTCTTTCTGTGAAATTAGACTAAACACAACCAAGTGTCGTTATAGGAGGTTTTTTTTGTCATTTATATGTATTTTGTGTTCTTCTTTTGTATCTTTCTGTTGTAAACTGCCCTGTGATCTTCAGATGAAGGGCAGTATATGAATTTAATAAAGAAACAGAAATATACAAATATCCAATAAAGTGTATTTTGGAGTCCAGATGGGTTACTGGGTGACTCACCTGTTTCCATCAGCTCCAGCCAGCAAGGCCATTCATCATGGATGGGAGTTGCACTCCAGTGATATTGGGATATGTTAGGTATTTATTTATTTCTTGAATTTATATACCGCCGTATACACGGAGGTCTCAGGGCAGCTCACAGAACAAAATAAAAAATGTAAAACCACAGAATATATAATCAAAATAAAGATAACAACCCAATAACCCCCTCCCATCCAAAAACCCACATTTTAAAAGGGCAAAGGATGTCAATCAAATCAACCAAAGGCCTGGTTAAAAAGGAACGTTTTACGAAGGTGCCAGGTGAACTTCCCTGGGGAGAGGATTCCACAAATGGGGAGCCACTGCAGAGAAGGTCTGTTCTTGTGTTGCCGCCACACTCTAGATCAGCGGTTCTCAACCTGTGAGTCCCCAGTTGTTGTTGGACTACAACTCCCATCATCCCTGAGCTCTGGCCTTGCTAGCTAGGGGTGATGGGAGTTGTAGTTCAACAACATCTGGGGACCCACAGGTTGAGAAAGGCTGCTCTAGATCATGGGTAGGCAAATTAAGGCCCGGGGGGTGGATCCGGCCCAATCGCCTTCTCAATCCGGCCTGTGGACGGTCTGGAAATCAGTGTGTTTTTACATGAGTAGAATGTGCCATTTTATTTAAAATGCATCTCTGGGTTATTTGTGGGGCATAGGAATTTGTTCTTTCCCGCCCTCAAAATATAGTCCGGCCCCCCACAAGGTCTGAGGGACAGTGGACCGGCCCCCTGCTGAAAAAAATTCTGACCCATGCTTTAGATCTCTCGAGGTGGCATACAAAGAAGGACCTCAGAAGATGATCTCAGGATCCAGGTAGATTCATATGGAAAGAGGCGGGCCTTGAGGTACTGTGGTCCTGAGCCATTTAAGGCTTTATAGGTCGAAACCAGCACTTTGAATTGGGCCCAGAAACTCATTGGTAGCCAGTGCAGTCGGACCAGGATCAGTGTAATATGCTACCACAGGACTAGACTATTCAAGCACGGTAAAGGTAAAGGGCCCCTGACCGTTAAGTCCAGTTGCAGACGACTCTGAGGTTGCGGCACTCATCTTGTTTTACTGGCCGAGGGATCCGGCGTTTGTCCGCAGACAGCTTCCGGGTCATGTGGCCAGCATGACTAAGCTGCTTTTGGCGAACCAGAGCAGTGCATGGAAACGCTGTTCACCTTCCCGCCGGAGCGGTACCTATTTATCTACTTGCACTTTGAGGTGCTTTTGAACTGCTAGGTTGGCAGGAGCAGGGTCCGAGCAATGGGAGCTCACCCCGTCGCAGGGATTCAAACTGCTGACCTTCTGATTGGCAAGCCCTAGGCTCTGTGGTTTAGGCCACAGCGCCACCTGCGTCCCTTCAAGCACTGTAGAAATGTCTAAAGAGACTTCCTGGTGCTGCACTTGAGGAAATGAGTCTTGGAAATTGGAGCTCTTAAGGTCTGGTGAGCTAGTCCAAAACAGCTCCTCATCTTCCTCTCCGCGGTCCACGCTGGTTTCCAAAAATCACCAGCTTCCAAATCTCCATTGCCAACTGATGACCTGCAGCCACGTCCCCTTGTTAGTGTTTTTTTCTGCCCCCGTTACTTTGTGCTATCCATACCACTTTATCTTTGGCTTCTTATCTTATTGTAAAGGTAAAGGGACCGCTGACCATTGGGTCCAGTCGTGGACTCTGGGGTTGCGGCGCTCATCTCGCTTTATTGGCCGAGGGAGCCAGCATACAGCTTCCGGGTCATGTGGCCAGCATGACTAAGCCGCTTCTGGCGAACCAGAGCAGCACATGGAAACGCCGTTTACCTTCCCGCCGGAGCGATACCTATTTATCTACTTGCACTTTGATGTGCTTTGGAACTGCTAGGTTGGCAGGAGCAGGAACCGAGCAACGGGAGCTCACCCCGTTGTGGGGATTCGAACCGCCGACCTTCTGATCGGCAAGTCCCAGGCTCTGTGGTTTAACCCACAGCGCCACCTGCGTCCCTCTTATCTTATTATAGGACTAGTTAAACAACTATCCCCACAGCTGTTTCTGCTGGGGACTCCTCTGTATTAAGGGGTCTGCACTTTTAACCATTGCTGAGACCTATCCAGCCATAGTTTCCAAATGCCTGGGATGTTCAGTGACATAGCAACAACTTAGCCTGGCCTTTTTGTTGAGCTGCAAACACTTCGCTACTCTAGGGATGTACATGAATGATCCGAACAAGTAATGAGATTTCAAAGCTGCCCATGGAAAATATGTGGACAATGGACTTCCAACAACTAGCAGCTGAGATATATGAAGGACCAGGGCATTGCCCTGAGAGATTCAGGGCAAATCCCAAGGCATAAATTTGCCTGCAATTGCACATGCCAATTTTTATTCATAAATAGATGCAAGTTTTTGTTTTTGGGCAAATTAAGATCACAGGTTACTGCATGGTGCTGTGAAGCATGCCCAGCAGCCTCAAAGTCCAAACAGTTTAAAATTAAGATTTTAGAAAGGTTGGGGAAGGGGCAGAAGATTGGGGGGGGCAGTGCAAAAGGACTGGAACTTAGGCCTACCCCTAACAATACACTTAAAGGGACTATAGGAGTCTTGTAAACATAATTCTACCTGGAGACACTCCAGTGTACTCTTTGACCAGGACAGTCACTTGTTCATTCATCTCTGTGTCTGCGTATTCTTCAAGTAGTGGTGTTTAAGAAGGGGCAAGACTGTTGCAACTGTACAGTCATACCCCGGGATAAATATACTTCAGGATAAGTATTTTCGGGTTGTGCTCCACAGCGATCCGGAAGTAACGGAGCGCGTTACTTCCGGGTTTCGCCGCTTGCGCATGCGCAGATGGTCAGAATGACGTCACGTGCATGCGCGGAAGTGGTGAAGCACGACCCACAGATGCGCTGTTGCGTCTGCATGTTCTATTCAGGATGTGAACGGGGCTCCGGAATGGATCCCCTTCGCATCCCGAGGTACCACTGTATATATACAGTGGTACCTCGGTCTATGAACAGGCTTGTTTAGGAACTATTGGGTAAACGAACTCCGCAAAACCGGAAGTACAGTGGTACCTTTGGTTACGAACTTCATTCATTCTGGAGGTCTGTTCTTAACCTGAAACTGTTCTTAACCTGAGGTACCACTTTAGCTAATGGGGCCTCCTGCCGCCGCCGCCCGATTTCTGTTCTTATCCTGAAGCAAAGTTCTTAACCTGAGGTACTACTTCCGGGTTAGTGGAGTCTGTAACCTGAAGTGTTTGTAAGCTGAGGTGTCTGTAACCTGAGGTACCACTGTAAGTGTTCCAGTTAGCGAACTTTGCCATGGAAGCCAAATGGTGGAAGGGCACCGGTGGCAGGACACCTCAGTAGGGAAAGTGCGCCTCGGTTTAAGAACGGACTTCCGGAACGGGTTAGGTTCATCAACCGAGGTACCACTGTATTAGGCTTCATGCTTCAGGCACTGCTTGTTCACTTGACTAGTCTTTTCCACAAGGAAATGCCTACTAAATGGAAGCTTAATATATAAATGCAAACATCTTGTTCCTCCTTAAACAGCACCAGCCTAGTTGAAGAATATGGGGCAGGGAGACAGATTATAATGGACAGAGTACCTTCAATAAGTACACTCTCTCCATATGCATTACTGGCTAGAACACGGGCCAGCAAACTTTTTCAGCAGGGGGCCGGTCCACTGTCCCTCAGACCTTGTGGGGGGCTGGACTATATTTTGGGGGAGAAAAGAACGAATTCCTATGCCCCACAAATAACCCAGAGATGCATTTTAAATAAAAGCACACATTCTACTCATGTAAAAACACGCTGATTCCCGGACCATCCGCAGGCCAGATTTAGAAGGTGATTGGGCCGGATCCGGCCCCCGGGCCTTAGTTTGCCTACCCATGGGCTAGAACATTACTTATGAACCTTCTAAGCTTTTAAGGCCGGGAAATAGAGGCACATTGTTTTCAAACAAGGACAGAATGCAAAACATGTTCTGCTTTGCATGAACAATTCACAAATTGCTACCATAGTTGAATTTCCTCTGACCTATCCGTCTTGTTTCTCACACTGGCTACACAATCCTACTTAATGTCTCCTTGAGCGACGTCCACTGCATTCCTCTGGAGTTAAAACTGCCATCTTGTGCATATTTACATGGGATTATTAAGCGAAAAGGATTCCAGGATAAGGGTTAGTATAGCCTTGAAATTCTTGTCTTCAGCAAAAGCACAGAATGCCTCTGATAAGTTATTTCTCTTTTAAACAGTCTGTTGCAAAAACTTCACCGCTGGTCGTCTTGAGGTTTGTACCTTTCCCTTGAAAGACCAAATATAGGATTAATAGGGGCATACTTACCCCTAAACACAAAGGGCAGCTGTGTAAACTGCTTTGAGGTTCTATGAACCGATTTGATGTGTTTCTTTTAAAAGTCAAGTGGCAGATACATTTTGCTAAAAAAATTTTTTTAGAAACTGCTGAGCTCATTGAAGTTGTGTTGCCCATTTAAACCTCTAAATAGGATTAATGACTTCAAAATGACCTTCAGAAATGAAATTCACCCTAACCAATTCCTCTGACTATTTATACTACAAGTCTGTATGGTGAAGAACTCCAGATTTGAGGATTAAAGAATACTTGGAATGAGCACTGCTAACATTGCCCATCCAGTAGACTGCTATTCAGGCACCAAGAAAGGGACAACATTTTAATCTGGAATGTTTGTGGAGATGGGGAAGTCTTCCATTGAGGTTGAATCCTGACAAGACAGAAGTACTGTTTTTGGGGGACAGGGGGCGGGCTGGTGTGGAGGACTCCCTGGTCCTGAATGGGGTAACTGTGCCCCTGAAGGACCAGCTGCGCAGCCTGGGAGTCATTTTGGACTCACAGCTGTCCATGGAGGCGCAGGTCAATTCTGTATCCAGGGCAGCTGTCTACCAACTCCACTTGGTACGCAGGCTGAGACCCTACCTGCCCACGGACCGTCTCGCCGGAGTGGTGCATGCTCTGGTTACCTCTCGCTTGGACTACTGCAATGTGCTCTATGTGGGGCTACCTTTGAAGGTGAACCGGAAACTACAACTAATCCAGAATGCGGCAGCTAGACTGGTGACTGGGAGCGGCCGCCGAGACCATATAACACTTGAAAGACCTACATTGGCTCCCAGTACGTTTCCGAGCACAATTCAAAGTGTTGGTGTTGACCTTTAAAGCCCTAAACGGCCTCGGCCCAGTATACCTGAAGGAGCATCTCCACCCCCATCAGATGTCAAAGCAATAAACAACTACCTGACATTCAGAAGACATCTTAAGGCAGCCCTGTTCAGGGAAGTTTTTAATGTGTGACATTTTAGTGTATTTTTGGTCCCTGTGGAAGCCGCCCAGAGTGGCTGGGGAAACCCAGCCAGATGGGCGGGGTACAAATAATAAATTATTATTATTCCTGTTTCAAAGGTGAAAGGCAAGGCATATCAGTTGAAGCTGTAGGGATTCCATTTTGAGTTCTCTTCAGATTGGCAGATGCTGTTAGCTGCAAAAGCTGTCATGTGTCTCTATTACCAATGGTCAAACAGAAGCATGAAGTGAGAACGTCATTCTTCTGAAAATAGGGCTGCCATATTTCCAGGGAGAATTTCCAAAATGTGGTGCTTTGTCCAGGATCTTGTGGGGGGAAAACTCAACAACTTTGGGGTTTTTTTAAAAAAAAAGCTCTGTTTTGAAATATGGCAACCCTGCTGAAAAGAACTCCAAATATCAACATCTCACTTATTAAAAGAGGAGTGTATTTTTCACATATCCTGTTTCTAAGTCAATGAATTGTGGCTGCCTTTGCTTTCGTGCTGTCGAGTCTTCAGAATATTCTACAAGTCATCAGTAAGCACACAGTTTCTAATAACATGCATTTCAATTCTGAAGGGGCAAGAAGACTTCCTTAATGATAGGGGTTTATGAATGGACTGTTCTGTTGCATGAAAATTACACAACAGCCTGCTAGTAACCAGGGCTGCCATATGTCTGGTTTTCCCAGGACATTATCAGGACTTCTTTTATTGAAATAAAGTTTATTTGGTTTTACAAATATAGAATTATAACAATATAAAATACATATCCATATTTAGAATTTTCCATCTTCCCCTCCATGGGTCCTATTGCCCCTGTTCAACTGCATATTATTTCATAATCCATATTTTAGATCTCTCCATTTTGTCCGTAATATCTGCCACATTACAGGTAGCAAAAGACATGACACTTGCAATGTATTTTACACTTGTAACATTATTGGGATTTCAAAGATGGAATTGATGTTGGAGGCGGGGGAATTGATGTCGGTCGGCGCTTTGTCCTGGATCTCAAGCAAGATTGTGGGTGTTTTTGTAAAAAAAACCCAAAACTCAACAACCTTTGGGATGTCCTGGTTTTTACTTTTTAGAAAGATGGCAGCCCTACCATTAACTAAGCAGCTATCTAGCAAAGATTTGCTCAGAAACAGTGGCTAGTGCCTTTGTGAGAACCGCTCTTTCATCTCTGCAGTTCTGGAGGCAAGTCAAACGCCTCCACTTCTGAAGTAGAAGATAAACGAGGCTGCTGCAATTAGCGGCCCAAAGTCACCCTGTGAATTAGTGGATAAGTAGTTACAGGTTGACTTGCACATGAGTTTAAGCTGATGAAGCGTACCTTGCCCACGGAGGGGAGGGGGGAATGGTTAATGTTTTCTAAGAACAGGTCACGCTTAATTTCACAAACTTGAATTTGCATGGGAACAGGTGGTAATTGATTGACACGTGGGGAAATTGTCAAGTGGTGACCGGTCCTTCAACCGAAACCTCCCTGAGAGCTGTATTTCTGCTGGAGCTACTACTATAGCTGCTTCTTTTCACAGCGCGAGTGCATCTCTGTCCACGTTGGCCAAGCCGGAGTCCAGATTGGCAATGCCTGCTGGGAGCTCTACTGTCTGGAACATGGCATCCAGCCTGATGGGCAGATGCCCAGTGACAAGACCATTGGGGGAGGAGACGACTCCTTCAACACTTTCTTCAGTGAGACGGGAGCTGGCAAGCACGTGCCCAGGGCCGTTTTCATAGACTTGGAGCCAACTGTGATTGGTGAGCATACAAACAAGACAGGCTACAGGTGGGGCTGTAGCTTACATACCCTCCAACATTTCTCCAGTGAAAATAAAGGTAAAAAGGTAAAGGGACCCCTGACCATTAGGTCCGGTCGCAACTGACTCTGGAGTTGCAGTGCTCATCTCGCTTTATTGGCCGAGGGAGCCAGTGTTTGTCCGCAGACAGCTTCCGGGTCATGTGGCCAGCATGACTAAGCCGCTTCTGGTGAACCAGAGCAGCGCACGGAAATGCCATTTACCTTCCCGCCAGAGCGGTACCTATTTATCTACTTGCAGTTTGACACTTCGAACTGCTAGGTTGGCAGGAGCAGGGACCAAGCAATGGGAGCTCACCCCGTCACGAGGATTCGAAAATAGGGATGTCTAATAATAATAATAATAATAATATAATATAATATAATATTACTTATACCCCGCCCATCTAGTCGGGCCTCCCCAGCCACTCTGGGCGGTTTCCAACAGGATATTGAAAACACAATGAAAGATCAAACATTAAAAACTTCCCTAAACAGGGCTGCCTTCAGATGTCTTCTAAAAGTCAGATAGTTGTTTATTTCCTTGGCATCTGATGGGAGGGCATTCCACAGGGCGGGTGCCACTACCGAGAAGGCCCTCTGCCTGGTTCACTGTAACCTCACATCTCGCAGGCAGAGAACTGCCAGAAGGCCCTCGGAGCTGGACCTCAGTGTCTGGGCTGAATAATGGGGGTGGAGACATTTAAATTACCATGTATTTAAAGCCCATTCTCTTCCCCACCCACAAGAATCATAGCAGCTGTAGTTTCCCCCTCACAGAGCCAACATCCCCAGCACCCTTGACAAACTACAGTTCCCAGGATTCCTTGGGAGAAGTCATGTGCTTTACCTATATGGTGGGCATGCCGCCCAAATCTCCTCAGAAGCCTTAGGCATGTATTTGTCCTGGTGTACAACAAATATGATTCCCCAAGGGCAGATGGTCTTAAATACCATTTCACTCGGGATCACTTCTCTCCACAGATGAGGTGCGCACTGGCACCTACCGCCAGCTCTTCCACCCTGAGCAACTCATCACTGGCAAGGAGGATGCTGCCAACAATTATGCCAGGGGCCACTACACCATCGGCAAGGAGATCATTGACCTGGTCCTCGACAGGATACGCAAACTGGTGAGTTGACGTCTGCTGCCCGTGGGACTGGGGGAAGGAAGTATTCAGGGGCTTCTAAACACAACAGGAAAGACGTTTCACAAAAGCACCCTTTATAAATGGAGAAAAGGCATTTCTTTAATATGTTCCTTCTTGTTTCCTCTGTTCCGGATGTGAGCATGGTTGTAGCAAGAAAAAGCACTGCCCGTGTCAAGAGGGAATGGCCAGCTTTTTGGGAATAGACAAAACCCTTTAAAAAAAGAACAAATGGGGACCCTCCAAAACTAATTATTATTATTATTATTATTATTATTATTATTATTATTATTATTTATTTGTATCTCACCCTCCCCGGCTGAAGCCGAGCTCAGAGCAGTTAATGTCATAAAAACAACACAATAAATGAGGACTGAGTGTGCTTAGAGTCCATAGAAATCTAGATGCTAGAATGAAGAGAAAATGCAAAATCAGAGGGGAGAGGGGAGAGGGGAGAGGGGAATGGAATAGCAAAGGGGGGATCCTGAAACACCCTCCCCCACTCCTCCCACTGCAATGTTTTGTTGCAGGTTTCACTTTATGTTCAAGCTGAATTAAACTTTTGAGCTGGGGTCTTTTAAAACCTCTCTCTTTCCAACAGGCCGACCAATGCACAGGTCTCCAGGGCTTCCTGGTCTTCCACAGCTTTGGTGGGGGCACCGGTTCTGGGTTCACCTCCTTGCTGATGGAGCGCCTGTCCGTTGACTACGGCAAGAAGTCCAAGCTGGAGTTCTCCATCTACCCAGCTCCCCAAGTCTCCACAGCTGTCGTCGAGCCCTACAACTCCATCCTGACCACCCACACCACCCTGGAGCACTCCGACTGCGCCTTCATGGTAGACAACGAGGCCATCTATGACATTTGCCGCAGGAACCTGGACATTGAGCGCCCCACTTACACCAACCTCAACCGCCTTATCAGCCAGATTGTGTCCTCCATCACGGCCTCCCTGCGATTTGATGGTGCCCTGAATGTAGATCTGACAGAATTCCAGACCAATCTGGTGCCCTATCCCCGAATCCACTTCCCCCTGGCCACCTACGCCCCAGTCATCTCTGCCGAGAAAGCTTACCATGAACAGCTGACAGTAGCAGAGATCACCAATGCTTGCTTTGAGCCAGCCAACCAGATGGTGAAATGTGACCCTCGTCACGGTAAATACATGGCCTGCTGCCTGTTGTACCGTGGGGACGTTGTTCCCAAAGATGTCAATGCTGCTATTGCCACCATCAAGACCAAACGTAGCATCCAGTTTGTAGACTGGTGCCCCACCGGTTTCAAGGTTGGTATCAACTACCAGCCCCCCACGGTGGTCCCCGGGGGCGACCTGGCCAAAGTGCAGCGTGCCGTCTGCATGCTGAGCAACACCACAGCCATTGCTGAGGCCTGGGCTCGCCTGGACCACAAGTTTGACCTGATGTATGCCAAGCGTGCCTTTGTCCACTGGTACGTTGGGGAAGGGATGGAGGAAGGCGAGTTCTCGGAGGCCCGGGAGGACATGGCTGCCCTAGAGAAGGATTACGAGGAGGTTGGGGCAGACAGTGCCGATGGGGATGATGAGGGCGAAGAATACTGATTTCTGTTTGTATCCGTTTGTTTTCTACTTCTTGCTCCTGTCTCCTTCTGGATGCCTTCTGCTGCCCATTGTGTTAGACTCATTAAAAAGAAACATTTGGTTGAAAGCAGTCTTGTTTCTTTCTTTATAGAACAAACCGTGCCCTGTCCTTCTGAGTTGTAGGCCTGGGTCCAAAATTCAGCATTGGAGACCATGTGTCTGTGCCCTGTCCTTTAGAGTTGCATAAAGGGTTTGTAGGACTTGGTCCTGCTATAGATGATGTCAGCTGAGAACATGCTTTTTGAATGAGTGGAGCTGGACTGGCCAGGCTCTTAGGGTTGGCAAAGCTTGAATGTCTTTGCACCAGGACAACACAGGCATTTGCTGTGCACTGAAGCATGCAAGGGCACTGACCTATATATTTGCAGCACTTTAGCAATTCTGTTGTAAAATCTTTTCACCTGCTGGGGCGCATGACTCCACTTTCCTGCTTACGCATTTGATACTGAGAAACTTGGCCATTGCATCAACAAGATTCCTCTGGCCTGCTCCAAAGTAACATCTTTAAAATGGTATCAAAGAAATTACAGTGGTACCTCAGGTTACAGACGCCTCAGGTTACAGACTCTGCTAACCCAGAAATATTACCTCAGATTAAAAACTTTGCTTCTGGATGAGAACAGAAATTGGGCGGTGACAGCGCAGCGGCAGCGGGAGGCCCCATTAGCTAAAGTGGTGCTTCAGGTTAAGAACAGTTTCAGGTTAAGAATGGGCCTCCGGAACAAATTACGTACTTAACTCGAGGTACCACTGTATAAAGGTAAAGGGACCCCTGACCATTAGGTCCAGTCGTGACCGACTCTGGGGTTGCGGCGCTCATCTCGCTTTATTGGCCAAGGGAGCCAGCATACAGCTTCCGGGTCATGTGGCCAGCATGACTAAGCCGCTTGTCGAACCAGAGCAGCACACGGAAAAGCCGTTTACCTTCCCGCTGGAGCGGTACCTATTCATCTACTTGCACTTTGACGTGCTTTCGAACTGCTAGGTTGGCAGAAGCAGGGACCGAGCAATGGGAGCTCACCCCGTCGCGGGGATTCGAACTGCCGACCTTCTGATTGGCAAGTCCTAGGCTCTGTGGTTTAACCCACAGCGCCATCCGCGTCCCACTGTATATTGACTAGCAAAGAGAAATAGGAGTTTGCTGATGGACCTTTGACCTTAGTCCACGTTCTCCTTAACTTATGACTGGTCACTAAGATTGACCACCCCCAATGCAACAAGCCCCATAGATATTCTTGACCGTTCTTTACATTATGTGACTTTATGGATTTGTAAGCATTGCCTTTGTAACGAAATGCACCAGAAGGTCTGCAAACAGATTGCTTGGCCTTCACTGCAATCTTTATTAAACTGGAGGGAGGCGCTACAACTTTCTGTGAAAGGGCAAATTTGAATCTCATTAAATCTAGTTACACCGGTTTTGCAGCATTTGGGTGGTGGTAAGGTTTGTGATATTTTGATCACCTTTTTGATGGTTGTAACATTTCACCACTGGAGCACAATGGAACAAATATGATCGTCTGTAAAATTTTATTTTCAGTTTATGAAGCAATTCTATATCCTCCAACCATGCTGACAAAGAATTCTACGAAACAGTAGTCAATATCCGGAATCACTGTTCAGTGTTGGACATCATAATTGCTGAATACACAAAGCTTCACAGCTTGTCTTTCATCGTACAAAGTTTGGCACCTCGCTTCATTTAAAGATTTTCAGAGACTTTGAGACTAAAGATTTCATTTTGTACTTGTTACGGTTTGAAGCAATTCTGTAAAGATTGTCTATTACATATGTATATGGTCATAGTGTTGCCTAGACATTGCTGACGTTCTCTTTGCCACACAGGGGTTTGTTTGGTTACTCCCCTGAGAGCCTGGCACCTGGGTGCCCTGCACCCCTAGCACCTATGGGTAAGACGGCCCTGGCTGTTTCATAAGGAGGTGCATGGGCAACATGCCATCTCCCCTCCCACTAGAGTAGCACATGGGTTTTATTTTGCGTGCCTGTTTTGTTCAGTGGAGGTAATAAAGCTATACGCAAGCTCTTTCTGTTGGCAAAGTAAGCCCTGCCAGGGCTACAAGATACAGAACTTAATCTTGGTGAGTAGGTGGGGGATAAATCTCAGTTGCTAGCATTTAACTCCCGGGCTATGCCCTGTTGCTATAAAGACACCAGCCACCCTAGAAAAGTGAATCAAATAAAAATGGCTAAAAGGTGACTCTAGAAAAAGTGGGAAAATGGAGCAAAGAAGATGTGCTGAGATCAGTTCTGAAGGCTGTCTCAGAAGCTGATGACTAACTGCATACAGAAGTTGCATATTAGAATGAGAAAGTACAAGTCCTTATTACATGCCGTGATTGAGCTGGAATTAAAACCTGCATTTCCAAAATGTGCTTTTGGAGCTGTATATTGCTGCTCTTTGAAACCCCTTCATTTTTGAGTACTTTTCAGTTAAGTGGTACCTCGGTTCTCAAACTTAATCCATTCCAGAAGTCCGTTCCAAAACCAAAGCATTCCAAAACCAAGGCGCGCTTTCCCATAGAAAGTAATGCAAAACGGATTAATCCATTCCAGACTTTTAAAAACAAGCCCTAAAACAGCCATTTAACATGAATTTTACTATCTAACAAGACCATTGTTCCATAAAATGAAAGCAACAAACAATGTACTGCAGTCACACAATCAATCAATCAATCAATCAATCAGTAGCTGGGTTCCACACAGTCACAAAAACAAAACAAAGAGAGCCGCAAAAACAAAAACGCAAAATAAATAGCAAAAACAGACAAACCTCAGCGTAACACTCAAAACAGAAGTGTGGCACTCAAATTGGAAGTGTAACTCTCAAAATGGAGCATGTTCGACTTCCGAAAAAAGTTCGCAAACCGGAACCTTACTTCTGGGTTTGCAGTGTTTGGGTTCCAAGTTGTTTGAGTACCAAGGTGTTTGAGAACCAAGGTACCACTGTAGATTGTGTCAGCAGTCTTTCCTGTATTGCTACAAAAGTACCCTAACATCAATGAGTTTGTAGGTTAGGAATGAGGCCTGCAGGACTTCTCTGAGTGTCAAAACAGTTCTGCTTTATTTTTGTCCCTTGCCAGTAAGCTTCCAATCTCTCCTTTGCAGCGCTTGTTCTAGCCCCAACAAGCAGTGGAATAAATGGATGGGTGCAGGTTGCTAAGTCTGAAACTCGGAATTCAGCCACCTCTGCATGAGAAAGCAAGCTCCTGCCAAGTGGTTTCTTCCAGACAGCAGGATACTCCAGCAAGGGCGAATCGGAATGGATTACATTAATGACTGCTGCCTCCTTCAGCGTCTGCTGCAGCTGTATCTGCATAAATACAAAAGCATCATTGGACGGACTCCAGTTAGCCATATGTGGGGTTGGCTATGTCTGGTTAGATGATATTTTTAACAGCTGCCTCTTTGCTTGCTCCTTCTTACATCCATCTTCCTTTCCTTCACATAGACTGCAGACCCTCCAAGGCTCCCTATTTTCCATCGACAGTCCTGGATTTACAGAAGCCGTCCTGGTTTCTAATTTGATCCTGGAATGTTCCGCTTTTCCTTAAGTCGTCCCTATTTTCATTAGAGAAATGTTGGAGTGTATGGAGTTATGTGACCCCCAAGCCAAGGAGATCAGTAACTATACAACCCTTATAAGAAGGCAGCCCTGTATAGCGAAGTTTTTTTTTATTGTTTAAAGTTTATATATATATATGTTAGAAGTCGCCCAGAGTGGCTGGGGCAACCCAGTCAAATGTGTGGATTATTATTATTATTATTATTATTATTATTATTATTAAATAGGACGTCCTGATTTTCATCAGAGAAATATTGGAGGCTGTAAAATTGGGTAGATATGTATTCCAGGCATGATAAAGAAGTAAAATTTCTACCCTAAATGACTCTGCCCTAGGATGCAATTAGTGGAATGCAAGCGTTGTTCAACTCATTGTATACATGAGGGGATAATTGCCCAGGAAGTATAAAAGTCACATTTGACTAGACAAATATGAGGGGTTTAGTAAAAAGGAAGATGAATGGGAAAATCAAGAGCATTAGATTTCCCCATAAGCTGTTTGGAAAACCAAAACAATAGCAGACCCTCCACGTGTCCTATTTTCCAGGGATAGTCGTGAATTTACAGAAGTAGTTTCTGATTTGATCCTGGAATGTCTCACTTTTCCTTAAAGGTAAAGGACCCCTGACCATTAAGTCCAGTTGCGGATGACTCTGGGGTTGCGGTGCTCATCTCGCTTTACTGGCCAAGGGAGCCAGCGTACATCTTCTGGGTCATGTGGCCAGCATGACTAAGCCACTTCTGGTGAACCAGAGCAGCGCACGGAAACGCCGTTTACCTTCCTGCTGGAGCGGTACCTATTTATCTACTTGCACTTTGATGTGCTTTCGAACTGCTAGGTTGGCAGGAGCAGGGACCGAACAACGGGAGCTCACCCCATCGTGGGGATTTGAACCGCTGACCTCCTGATTGGCAAGCCCTAGGCTCTGTGGTTTTAGGACATCCCTATTTGCATCAGATAAAGATTAGAGGGTATGGAGTTATGCGACCCCTGAGCCAAGGAGATAAATAACTATACAACCTTTAGAAAACATCTGAAAGCAGCCCTGTATAGGGAAGTTTTTTAATGTTTAATGTTTAATTATGCTTTATATATGTTAAATATATATAATATATATTTAACTTATATAATATATATATATATATATATATATATATATATATATATATCTATATATATATATCTATATATATATCTATATATTTATATATATCATATATCTATATATATATAACACATATATATATTTAACATATGTTGGGGCAACACAGTCAGATGGGAGGGGTGCAAGTAATAAAATTATTATTATGGAGGAATAGGACATTCCTATTTTAATCAGAGAAATGTTGGAAGGGATGCAATACAGGTTTTTCCTGAAGAATTTGAAGATCATGCTTAAAACATTGATGCTGCTAGTCTCCTCCTCTTTCTGGTGGATATATTTATTCCTTCCATGTTCCTGATGTAGCACTTCACACACTCTTTCTTCCCTGGCTGGGGTGGGGCTCAGGTGCCAAAAAGTCTTGGACCAGCCCTGGGCTGAACAAATAACTTGCCTCTGTCTTCACTGGGAGATGTAGGGCAGATCCTTAGCCTAACTTTCTCATGGAGGGAATTTGAGGAATGAAGGCATGGACGAAAGGTGGAGGCCAACCACTGATCACATTTGTACAATTACGTACATTGGTAGGATTGACATAAAACTTGTAGTAAAAATTTGAACTATGGATTGACAAAGGATTTATGAGAATGGAGTTATAAAAGAGGTGCAGAGGGGAAAATCATTATATTAAAGTCCACATTGGGGGGGGAGGAAATCAAAAGGGATTATATGTCTATGTATTTAATTTGTTTGATAATGTAAAATAGAAAATTCAAAAATAAAATTTATTGTTTTAAAAATGTTTTAAAAATTTAAAAGCTATTTTTTAAGGAAAATTGGCAAAAATAACACTGCTGATATCAGTTGCCATAGGTCCAGATTTTCCTTGACATTTAGCCGATTTCCACCGAGACACTCCTTTCAACTAAAGTATTCCAAGTTTGTCCAATAAATGCAAATGAACTATTCATCTGTAGCTGGACAAAAGATACCATTTTAAACAATGTGTGTCAGATGGGATGTGTACACTATGGCAGAGATCAGATCCAATTTTTTCAGGGTTTGAGTGTGGAAGCGCTAAGCAAACTACAAATGCCTAACGCAGGCTTCCTCAACCTCGGCCCTCCAGATGTTTTTGGCCTACAACTCCCATGATCCTTAGCTAGCAGAACCAGTGGTCAGGGATGATGGGAATTGTAGTCTCAAAACATCTGGAGGGCCGAGGTTGAGGAAACCTGAGTTAGATGGAGAAGGCGAGGATGAAGAGTTATTGAAAGAAACTGAACAATAAGTGGTGAGAGCAGAACACTGACACAAGGCTGGATCAGGAGAAACTTGAGGAAAACAAGGGGAGGGCATAACCACCAGTGCAAAAGCATTGTGTCACTGGAGAAGGGGGGAAGTTAAGTAAGGAAGGGTGGGAGATTTTTTTGGGGGGGGGTGTAGGGGTTGGGCAGGAAATGAATGAATTCCTCTAAACTTAATTTACTCTCTTTTTTTTTTAGTAAATCAATTTGAAAGCATATGGCCACAAATAGGAGGTTTAACGATCCAACAAACTCAATCACAGGGGCAAGTAAATAAGGAGTAGGAATAAATTTCTTTGCCACATCCGAATCAAGAGAGGTCATGCGAGGTCTGGACCAGTGCCTAGACTCAGAGGTGGGCTGCGTGATGGCCAGCAACAGGGTCTGAATCCTGCCAAGGTGGAAGCGCTGTGGGTGGGCAGTTAGCCATTTTGGATCATTTGGTCCACAGCCTGTTTTGAGCAACATGCTACTCCCTCTGAAGGAACAGGTTCACTTGTCCCTTTTTCTATCCTAAATTGTTTATTAAATTTTCTGTTTTACATTTTAGAATACAGTGGCACCTCAGGTTACAAACACTTCGGGTTACAAACTCTGCTAACCCGGAAGTAGTACCTCGGGTTAAGAACTTTACCTCAGGATGAGAACAGAAATCGCGCAGCGGCAGCAGGAGGCCCCATTAGCTAAAGTGGTACCTCAGGTTAAGAGCAGTTTCAGGTTAAGAACAGACCTCCGGAACGAATTAAGTTCATAACCAGAAGTACCACTGTATTCATTTAAACAACAGTGACTTCCCTTCTTCTCTTTCCGTGGTTCATTTTGCGTAACATAAATCCCTGCATATTTTATATAAACTAAACCATTCAGTATTCCATTATTGCATCCATCAAAACTTATTTACACTGCTGAATTTATCTTATTGCTGCCAGCGTTATGAAACACAGCGTTATGTACACAATTTCCCCCCATATATTCAATAAATATTTTCCAATTTTCTTTAAACATATGTTCTTCTGGTTCTCTTATTCTATATGTTGGAATAGGTGCAGCTTGCAGACCTATCAGCTTAAGTCTCCATTCTTCTTTAGTTGGGACTTTGCTCATTTTTTCATTTTACGGGCCGCAGTAGTGGCATACATAAATAACCTTTTTTGACACCTGGGAATTTCCATCTGAATTATCCCCAACGAAAAGCACCCTGGTGTTGTTTGGGATTTTTTGGAAAGGTACTTTTAAACTTTTTTTTTCAGTTAACTATGAATTATTTCCCAATACAGTGATACCTCATGTTGCGAACTGTCCCCCTTACGAATTCTTTGGGTTATGCGCTCCACTAACCTGGAAGTAGATGCCCCTTCTTGCAAACTTTGCCCCGGGATGTGAGGGGAAATTGCGCTCCGGCGTTGCAACAGCAGGGGGAGGCGCCATTAGGAAAAGCGCACCTCATGTTATGAGCGGTTTCCAGTTACGAACGGACCTCCGGAACAGATTAAGTTCGCAACTGGAGGTACCACTGTTCTCTTTTACAGGTCTACCACGTATGATAGAATGTACCCTCAGTCTCATTGCATCTCCAGCACTTATCAGAGTCAGTCTTATAGATCTTAGCAAGTCTACTCGGGAGTTAGATACCATCTGTATATCATTTTCAGGTAGTTCTCCTTCCAAGGAATAACATACTGTAAACTTCAGAAGGCTTTTCCAAAGTTTCCCCCAGAGATTAAAATCTATATTATGTCCTGTATCTATTGCCCAATGTTTCATAGAGGCTTTGACAAGCTTGTTTCTTGTTTCCCAATCAAAGAACAGATTGTACATTTTAGATAAAAGTTTCTTTTGTAGAAGTTCTTTTTCAAATTGTGAGCTTTGGTCCAAAAAAAAATTTAAAAAAAATTTCCTGTCTATTTTAAACATTTCATGTAACTGATGATATTGTAGCCAGTCTATGAAATGGCTCCTTACACTTTCCATTGATTTCAGTTTAGGTTCCCCCTCTGTAAAGTATAGCAATTCCCTGTAAGTTGCCCACTATCCATATTAACTCTCTTAATTGTAATAGCCTTAATAGCAGATAGCCATAATGGTGTTTTCCTTTCCAGCAGATTTTTATTTTTCTCCCAAACTCTATACAAATTCTGTAGAATATGGTTCATAAAACCTTTATATAAGAGGAAGTTGTTTTCCCAGGTCTGACTGGCAAGACAGCTACAGCCATTCATGGACTGAGATAGACAGTCGACTATTGTAGCCTCTATATTGGATTACTGCAATGCACCCTATGTGGGGCTGCCCCCTAGAAGCTGGAGCTAGCATAAAATGCAACTTGGTTATTGACTGGGCTAGGTATAAAGTAACCTAACAAACAGAATGAATCTGATTAGTGCAATTGTATGGCACTAAGGAACAAATGGGACGCAAGTGACGCTGTGGGTTAAACCACAGAGCCTAGGGCTTGTTGATCAAAAGGGCAACGGGGTGAGCTCCCGTTGCTTGGTCCCTGCTCCTGCCAACCTAGCAGTTCAAAAGCACGTCAAAGTGCAAGTAGATAAATAGGTACCGTTCCGGCGGGAAGGTAAATGGTGTTTCAGCACGCTGCTCTGGCTTGCCAGAAGCGGCTTAGTCATGCTGGCCACATGACCCAGAAGCTGTACGCCGGCTCCCTCGGCCAGTAAAGCGATATGAGCGTTGCAACCCAGAGTTGTCCGCGACTGGACCTAATGGTGAGGGGTCCCTTTACCTTTATTATTGGGCTATTGCTTTTATTTTTATTTTATATACTGTGATCTTTTTATGTGAACTGCCCTGAGACCTCCAGGTATAGGGCGTTATATAAATTCAACAAATAACAAGAGGAGAAGTGCAAGTAACTTGTCTCTGGGACGGAGTCTGGCAGGGACTGATATAGGATGCCATCCTTGTTCTCTGGGTGACAGGGGCATTTAAAGTGGTGCAGGCATGCACCCATTTTCTGCTCTTCTAGATGTGGCAGCTATTTTGTCAAGCCACACTGCCAAGGCAGCCATCTTGTGTTACGCCCTCTCCACCACCAGCACACCCAGTTGTTGACAGACACCCATGGGACTTTAGAGTTCCAAATGTGCCTGCCTGTTCCCATTGTAGCCAGCCAGACACTGACGGGAAGCCCACAAACAGGGACAGGGGCATAATAGCCCTTTCTCGCTCGTGTTCCTCAGCAACAGGGTTGCAGACACATGGCTTCCAGTGCTGAATCTTGGACCCAGGCCTACAACTCAGAAGGACAGGACACGGTTTGTTCTATAAAGAAAGAAACAAGACTGCTTTCAGCTAAACATTTTGTTTAATGAGTCTAACACAATGGGCAGCAGAAGGCATCCAGAAGGAGACAGGAGCGAGAAGTAGAAAACAAACGGATACAAACAGAAATCAGTATTCTTCGCCCTCATCATCCCCATCGGCACTGTCTGCCCCAACCTCCTCGTAATCCTTCTCTAGGGCAGCCATGTCCTCCCGGGCCTCCGAGAACTCGCCTTCCTCCATCCCTTCCCCAACGTACCAGTGGACAAAGGCACGCTTGGCATACATCAGGTCAAACTTGTGGTCCAGGCGAGCCCAGGCCTCAGCAATGGCTGTGGTGTTGCTCAGCATGCAGACGGCACGCTGCACTTTGGCCAGGTCGCCCCCGGGGACCACCGTGGGGGGCTGGTAGTTGATACCAACCTTGAAACCGGTGGGGCACCAGTCCACAAACTGGATGCTACGTTTGGTCTTGATGGTGGCAATAGCAGCGTTGACGTCTTTGGGGACGACGTCCCCACGGTACAACAGGCAGCAGGCCATGTATTTACCGTGACGAGGGTCACATTTCACTAATTGGTTGGCTGGCTCAAAGCAAGCATTGGTGATCTCTGCTACCGTCAGCTGTTCATGGTAAGCTTTCTCAGCTGAGATGACTGGGGCGTAGGTGGCCAGGGGAAAGTGGATTCGGGGATAGGGCACCAGATTGGTCTGGAATTCTGTCAGATCTACATTCAGGGCACCATCAAATCGCAGGGAGGCTGTGATGGAGGACACAATCTGGCTGATAAGGCGGTTGAGGTTGGTGTAAGTGGGGCGCTCAATGTCCAGGTTCCTGCGGCAAATGTCATAGATGGCCTCGTTGTCTACCATGAAGGCGCAGTCGGAGTGCTCCAGGGTGGTGTGGGTGGTCAGGATGGAGTTGTAGGGCTCGACGACAGCTGTGGAGACTTGGGGAGCTGGGTAGATGGAGAACTCCAGCTTGGACTTCTTGCCGTAGTCAACGGACAGGCGCTCCATCAGCAAGGAGGTGAACCCAGAACCGGTGCCCCCACCAAAGCTGTGGAAGACCAGGAAGCCTTGGAGACCTGTGCATTGGTCAGCCTGTTGGAAAGAGAGAGGTTTTAAAAGATTCTCACAAGTCCTGACAAGGTCTTGCTGAAAAGCCTGCTTAGTCACTTAATACGGAGGCTACTGGCGGGTTGGAGAGAGTAAGAGTCCCCTTTTCATGAGATCATACAGCAGAAGGCAGTCTCTGCAGAAGGCTCCTAGGCAGTGCAGCAGAGACCTCTGAATGGGATAAAGGAGAGGGGGACAGAGACACTGAGTCTCACTTAATACAGTGGTGCCTCGCAAGACGAAATTAATCCGTTCCGCAAGAGTCTTCGTCTAGCGGTTTTTTCGTCTTGGGAAGCAAGCCCATTGACGGATTAGCGCTATTAGCGCTATCAGCTGTTTAGCGGCTATTAAAGGCTTAAAGGCTTAGGTGATTAGCTGCTAAAAGGCTATTAAAGGCTATTAAAGGCTTAGCAGATTAGATAAAGGGGGGGAAAAGCGGGAAAAAAATCTCAGGACTCGCAAGGTATTTTCGTCTTGCGAAGCAAGCCCATAGGGGAATTCGTCCTGCGAAGCAACTTCAAAACGGAAAACCCTTTCGTCTAGCGGTTTTTCCGTCTTGCGAGGCATTCGTCTTGCGGGGCACCACTGTACTATGTCCCTGTAGCTTCCAGACAACTATGGCCTGTAATTCAAGGGCTACATCTTATACTGAGAACATCTCAACCATTAAGCTCCCCTTCTTAGACCAACTGGTCCTGGTAAATTGATGCCTATGCTACTCCTGCCCCAGCTCTTAGCTTTGGAGGACAGATCAATCTGACTGCACAAATTATTGCATGATCACACCACCTCCTCTGCTACTGGGGGTTTGGAAAGCGCAAAATCCAATTTCCTTGAAGATGGTGTATTCCTCCGGTAGCCATCGTAGTTTCCTCCAAAGGCTGTGGGGTCTATCTCCCATCAACCCAAGCAGTCTTGGCACTCACCACCTTGTGAGGTGGTAAGCAATGATGGGGATTGTAGTCTAACAATGTCTGGAGGACACAATGCTAGCTAACTCTGGTGTAGAAGATAATCCCTGTGTAGTGCCCCATGGACCTTTGCTTATTTAAGAATTTTGATCCTAACACTAATTCAATAATTTAAGATCACAACACAAGACTATTCTTTAAGATTATCTCCTCCCCACCGTCAATGCTTACCCTTCAAGATAACTGCCCGTGAGTTGTTGCATAAAGGACAGACAGACCTTGTATGATCGATCTCCTTCCTCTCTTTTGTACAACTTGGGAGTTACCAACCTGAGCAACATCCAAAACTGGGACACAGGGGCTGAATCAAATTATATTTTGCACCCCATTGGGTTCATCTGCATAAGGCATGGATGGGAACCAGTGGCTTCCATACATTGCTGGACGCAAAATAGCTTATGGTCTCGGATGACAGGGACATTTTTGCTTAACCATTTCCAGAAGGCCAAAGCTTCCTCACCCATGAAGTAAGGAATGGTATTAATCAAAGTCTCTCTTTGGACAATGCTCATTTTACAGGAGAAGACCACTGAAGCCACAAGGTAAGCCATGAAGCATGCGTCCGATAAAAATTCTTCGAGCTGCGGTTTATATAAGGCGCAGTAAATGGCACCAGCTTTCTAGGACCTAGGACCCTCGTACCTACGGGATTGCCTCTCCCGGTATGCCCCACGGAGAGCCTCAAGGTCCATAAATAGCAACACCCTAGTGGTCCCGGGCCCTAAGGAAGTTCGATTAGCCTCAACCAGAGCCAGGGCCTTCTCAACACTGGCTCCTGCCTGGTGGAACGCTCTGCCTCATGAGGCCAGGGCCCTGCGGGATCTGATTTCTTTCCACAGGGCCTTTGGCTTGGAGCCAATTTGATTCCCTCCCCCTCTTTCTTTTTCCTTTCTCCTCCTGTGATGAGGCTGCATTTTAATATTTCAATGTTTTAATGTTGTATTTTAATCTTGTTTTTAAGTTGTATTCATTCAACTTGTTTTTATTATTGCTTGTTAGCCACCCTGAGCCCGGCCATGGCTGGGGAGGGCGGGGTATAAATAAACATCATTATTATTATTATTAAATCATGAAGCCCCATTTTAGAGCTGGAGATTAATGAGTCTCAGCAATCTCCAACTTCCTGGGAAAAGGCAACTATGCTTATGACTGCCTATAAAAAGCATGTTACCAGCCCCTCACCTCAATACGACAAGCAGATTAACAGCTTGGCTGCATGCATTTTTACTCAGTTATTGTTCTTTAGCCTTAAAGGAACAGGGTGCCTATCAGCATACGCAGATCAGTTTCCCCTCCAAATATTTATGAGAAACTACAGCCTGTACAATCCTGCCTCTTCAACTCTTGCTAAAGATAAAGAGCAGAGCTAACAGTCTCCCATACAGATAAGCCCAAGAGCTTTTATCTTCAGAAACAATGCCACTCCTGGCTTCCTTAAACTGTACAATTCCCCACCCCCACAACTCTCTGTGCTTGTTTTATTTCCATAGGCAGAAAGATTAGAATTTAAATAACAAGGTTCCTGTGAGCACATTCTCAGCCTAGGAATTTTATTTTCCCATGACTAGAGCTATACAGAGAGCTCTTCCACTTTACACAAAGCTCTATTTCTGCTTTTCTAACCAAGCAATTGTTTCTTTGGGTGGCATTCAAGTAAATAATTATGCGAGCGGAAAAACTTTGGCTTGCGGAATGGGACTCGCCCCTTCCCCCTATGCGCACCCCAAAATATGCTCCAGGTGGCTTGAGGAACCCCTGGAACAGTTTCCGGGGTGAAAAGAGGGGGGAAGTCTCATTGTGAAAGTGTTCTGCTTGAGCTAGGGGTTACTTAGTACTACTTTGGAAATTATTCATTTGCTATACGTGGAGTTGGTGTGTGGGAGATTCCACCTGCAAGTGAAATGGAACAAAGGCTCATTGAAGAAGAAGAGGAGGAGTTTGGATTGATATCCCGCTTTATCACTACCCAAAGGAGTCTCAAAGCGGCTAACATTCTCCTTTCCCTTCCTCCCCCACAACACTCTGTGAGGTGAGTGGGGCTGAGAGACTTCAGAGAAGTGTGACTGGCCCAAGGTCACCCAGCAGCTGCATGTAGATGAGCGGAGACGCGAACCCGGTTCACCAGATTACGAATCTCAAGAAGAGCTGCCCCCAGGCCCCAGGAGAAGCAGAGAAAACAGAAGCATGGCTTCATACAGGCAAAAAGAACCAAAAACTTGAGATTAAGCAGCAAAAAAGAAAAGACTCCAATTTGCGTGGCCACACACCCCTAAGTCCAGTAAGATGCACACTCTTTGCTTGGAATATTGTGCATGTAGCGATGGGGAAAAGCATTCCCAAATGCATTCAAGGACTAGAGACCACGGGCTTCCTCTCACAAAAATCCACTCCAGGTTTTTCCTGCAAGCCCAATTTTGGCAGCTGTAGAGTGACATTCCTCTCCTGCTTGCCAAGATAAAAGAATTTGCCTTCTGAGGCTGTATGAGGGCAGGCAGGGGAGGAGAACCACTGCACAGTCAGATTTGGAGTTGGGTTTTTTAAGTCTATCTCAAGCATCCTTTCCTTTGTCTTTAGAAGATCCTGTGAAGACCACCTTCCCGCAGTAAGCTTTTCAGGAGACCACACAACAGAAGAAAGCCTCTTCAGAAGGCTCCTAGGCAGTGCAGCATAGGATGAAGGAGAGGGGGACAGAGACACTGAGCCTCACTTAATACTATGTCCCTGTAGCTTCCAGACAACTATGGCCTGTTAATTCAAGGGCTAGACCTTATATGGAGGACAACTCAACCACTAAATTCCCCTTCTTAGACCAACTGGTCCTGCTAAATTTATGCCTATACTACTCCTGCCCCAGCACTTAGCTTTGGAGGACAGATCAAAATGACTGCACAAATTATTGCCTGATCACACCACCACCTCTGCTATCTTAAGCTCTTTGGGGAAAAGCAGGATACAGTGCATGTGAAGTATTAATTAGCAGCAGTGTACAACTGACTATACAATTTATTCTTGCCTTTCAAGATGGGTGAAGGAAAGAAGCAGGCTTGCATAAGCAGTACAGGCAGGTAGGACCCTAGCTCAAAAGTTTAACACAGCTTGGACATAAAGCAAAACCTGCAACAAAATGTTGCAGTGGGAGGAGTGGGGGGGTCAGGCTCCCCCCTTTGCCATTCCACTCCCCTCCTTTGCTTTTACATTTTCTCCTCCTAGCATACAGAATTCTATGGACTCCAAGCACACTCAGTCCTAGCTTATCAATTTTGGTGGGTCCACATTTATTCTTTTTTTAAGGGTTTTGTCTATTTCTGAAAAGCTGGCCATTCCCTCTTGACACGGGCAGTGCTTTTTCTTGCTACAACCATGCCCACATCCGGAACAGAGGAAACAAGAAGGAACATATTAAAGAAATGTCCTTTCTCCATTTATAATGGGTGTTTTTGTGAAACGTCTTTCCTGTTGTGTTTAGAAGCCCCTTCCCCCAGTCTCGCAGGCTGCAGACATCAACTCACCAGCTTCCGTATCCTGTCAAGGACCAGGTCAATGATCTCCTTGCCAATGGTGTAGTGGCCCCTGGCATAATTGTTGGCAGCATCCTCCTTGCCAGTGATGAGCTGCTCAGGGTGGAAGAGCTGGCGGTAGGTGCCAGTGCGCACCTCATCTGCGGAGAGAAGCAAGTGGAACCATCAAGACCTCTGGCATCCCTCCTGTAGACACAAACATAGCTAGAAAGTTATTAGAAGTCCCTTGTTTGCTCACCAATCACAGTTGGTTCCAAGTCCACAAAGACTGCCCTGGGCACGTGCTTGCCAGCTCCCGTCTCACTGAAGAACGTGTTGAAGGAGTCGTCTCCTCCCCCAATGGTCTTGTCACTGGGCATCTGCCCATCAGGCTGGATGCCATGCTCAAGACAGTAGAGCTCCCAGCAGGCATTGCCAATCTGGACTCCGGCTTGGCCAACGTGGATGGAGATGCACTCACGCTGCAAAGAGAAGCGGTTAAAATGAATGCATGCATCCTTCCTCAATGCAGACACACACCCCACAGACATGGAACTCCCCTGTCCAACCAATTCCATGTTATTTTAAATCCCCCATTCCTACCCCTGCGTCTTAAGTGTGAGTTTAGGGCCTGACTTCAGAACTGCAGAAAGGAATGAAGTGATATATCTAGAGCAGTTTGTGCACGCACACAATGAGCAAAGCTGTGCTAGTCGGCAGTGGCGCTGCGGTCTAAACCACTGAGCCTCTTGGGCTTGCCGATCAGAAGGTCAGGGGTTTGAATCCCGGTGACGGGATGATCTCCCGTTGCTCGGTCCCAGCTCCTGCCAACCTAGCAGTTCGAAAGCACGCCAGTGCAAGTAGATAAATAGGTACTACTGCGGTGAGAAGCTAAACAGCATTTCCATGCACTCTGGTGTCCTGTTGCTCCAGAAGTGGTTTGGTCATGCTGCCACATGACGCAGAAAGCTGTCTGTGGATAAAAGCCGGCTCTCCTGGCCTGAAAGCGAGATGAGCTCCGGAACCCCATAGTCACCTTTGACTGGACTTAACCATCCAGGGGTCCTTTAACTTTTCCTAGTCGGCAGTCTACTAGCAAGTAAGCAGCTAATGAATTGCCCACAATGCAATGTCATCATCCCCAAGGCAGAGCTGCCATGGAACAGCTCGGAATAAGCAGTCCCCCATCCTGCCCCACTTCTGTGGCCTCAAACTTGCAGAATTCAAAGATTTTTCGAACACTGTATGCCAAAGACCCAGAAACCAAAATGCAAACAAAATCCATTGCCTAGGAAATAAGACATGTGGAAAATTCACTCACTTTCTTAAAGCTAAGCTGATAATTCTGGGGAGTCATTTAAAGTTGTCCACGTGCCAGTCTGTTGTGACTTTAATCCATTTTTTGATGATTGATAAAGAGAAAGTGGCTTGTGACAGCCTTGGAAGCCCACAGCTTTTACCCAGAAACTGTTGGCAAAAACTAATTCTCCCTCATCATCCTATCTGAAGAGAAGGGAATTCTTATGGAATACGGATATAAATTTTACAGTATATTATGGATTAAGAGAAAATTCTATGAAAATATTATATAGATGGCACCTAGTACAGGCATATCCAACTCTCTAGAGATTGCGATCTACTCCCAGTGTTATAAAATTGGCAGCTATCCATTCATTGTCATTGCCCACAGTTGTTGCGCTTTTTTGGGTGGAGTGCCCTGAGTCTCTAACCCCTAAAAACTTTGGCCCTGAAGAATCTTCACCGGCTCCCAGTTTGAAGTGTTGGTGGTGATCTTTAAAGCCCTAAATGGCCTTGGTCCAGTATACCTGAAGGAGTGTCTCCACCCCCATCATTCAGCCCGGACACTGAGGTCCAGTGCTGAGGGCCTTCTGGCAGTTCCCTTACTGCGAGATGTGAGGTTACAGGGAATCAGGCAGAGGGCCTTCTTGGTGGTGGTGCCCACCCTGTGGAACGGCCTCCCATCAAATGTCAAGGAACTATCTGACTTTTAGAAGACATCTGAAGGCAGCCCTGTTTAGGGAAGTTTGATGTTTGATCATGTTTTTAATATTCTGTTGGGAGCCGCCCAGAGTGAGCGGGGTATCAATATTTACAGGGACAGCTCAGAGAGGGCAGACACAATTCTACTCACCTGCCTTGTGTTCCAGAAAATGGTTTGTCCCTTCTTAAGGTTCATAAACCTACTTCAACATGCAGTCAGTGAGATAAATGAGCAGGAGAGACAGATCTGTCCTGGTCAAAGATTACACTGAAGTGCGAGGTAGTAGTCTTGTACCCTGGGTAGGAAAGAGGTCCTACCTCAGGCTAGCCAGATGAGCTCAGCCAAGGGTGTGCAATAGACCAACAGATTCCCTACACGACAACACTAACTCAACCCTGAAGCACCAGTTGTATGCAAAAGACACTGTTACTCATTCCTAATCGGCACTGCAGGCTTTGGGTGTGACTCAAACAACCCGGTGCCTGTTGAGTCATTGTGTCTGCTGCAGCAGCACAATGTATCCCTCAGGACTATAAAATCTGTATAGTATCACATTTTGCCTCATGCTTTAGGTTACACAAATGCAGCAAATACAGAGTTGCCATATTTCAAGAGTAAAAACCAGGGCACCCTGAAAGTTTTTGAGTGGTTTGTTTTTTTTAAACCCCTGAAATTTTTCAACTATCCAGGACAAAGCAGCAAATATCACTTTCTTTTTGATAGGAGAATCAGGGGATTATGGGTCCTAATGGGGGGGAGCAACTGCCCCCACGCTGAACACCCATGACTACAGGCACTGTGCTCAAAGTTGTTCCCTTGGTCAAAAGGACTAAGGCCTGGAGATTATAGGAGTGCTGGAGTTTAAGTGAGACACGGTTCTTAGCCTGCTCATGCTTGCTTCTTCGGATAGCTCATCCAGATGCTAATGAGTCGATGTTTCAGAGCCAGCTCTTTTGAACTCCCAACAGGATTTGGCTTGTTTTAGCTAGTTGCTGCCAGCGAAGTGAAAACGCAGCAAGAGCTAAGCAGAAGAGGCCCAAGGCCTCACCCCACCAAGGCAGGCGATTGAGTGCTAGGCAACTGAGCCCCATTATCCTTCCCACAGCACAAACAAGGGGGAGGAGAGCAAGGAGCAGATTTGGTTTCATAGAGCTAGCCAAGTCCTGTGCATTATTAGGTAGCCTCAGTTTCTGGAACCCAGAACACTAGGATCAGGGTTCCAAAGGGAGTTAATGTGTCTCTCCGACAAGTTGTGGGGGCACAGAGAAACATTTTGCACAGGGCTCCAGGTTTACCAACAGGCAAACAAAAGCAAACCAGAGCAAGATGATTCTAGCTTTGTTTCTCATACTGTTCCCCATAAGTGTTGGTGGAGGTATCTTTTTCATGATATCTGGTGCAAGGATACACCCTTAATTTCCTCCAGTTATTCAGATTTGAAACAAATCCAGTTTTGCTTCCAGGCTCCAGTTACTCAGATTTGAAACAAAAAATTAAAAGTCTACTCGACAGCTCGGTTTTGAGTAATCTCTTAATTTAAATTAAAAACAACAACTGATGCTGGAATTGCATCTTTTGTATTTCAACCGAGCCACAAAATGGAGCTGTTATGCCCTTTGAAGATCTGTCCCTCCTAACTCACTTTGGCTGAACATGCCTTGCTTTCCAGCAACTTTTAAGACATTTTGCCCTGCCTGCTGGTAGCTAGACATTATGCAATGCCACATAATGCCCCTTCTATGCAGGATCTATTTGCCAGAGCCAAGCTTCGCAGCTGGCAAGTTCAAACTTGGTCACTTTTGCTTTCAAGATGCGACCCAACCCCAAAATGGATTACCTTGCCTAAGGATGCCTCTTAAGCGCAACGTAAGCCGCTTAGCCTGGCTGATTTGCAATGGGCATTTGGGGACAAGAGTGTGTTTATTTTTTCTTGCATGGGGGGTGGGGAGCAGGATTGATTTGCAGCGTTTCCTTTTGCCAACAGGCAAATGAAGCGCACAAGGTTCTGCGTTCAACCGCCCGGGGAAATGACGCAACAAGCTGGTTATTCAACAAGGCTCTTCCCGCGCGTTCTCTCTGGCGGGCTGCTCGCCTTGGACTCTCGCTTTCCAACTCTGCTTGGAAGAAGTGACTCAACACGTAGTTAAGGAAGCAAGAAAAAAAGTTCTGGACATGGGCGTAACCAGGAATTTTGTGGGGCGGGGGAAGCAGGCCTTTTGTCGGGGGACAAGACCTATGTGATTCGTCACTTAAGTATTTCTATTGTTTTACTTGATCTGGGGGACGGGCAGCTGCCCTCACCTACCCCCCCCCCCGCTTGGCTACACACATGGGTGTGGAAGAGGCTGCCATGCCGGGCTTAAGCGACCACATCCTGCTGCTTACGGAAGCACGCTTCCAGAGGATTTTGGCAAAAGACCTTGTGTTCCATAGACCCATTTCCCAGAAAGGGTAAATCGAGGCGCACAGAGACTATTCAGATATTCTCATGGTCTCGTTTGGTAACGACTGGAGTAAGCAACGCACCCCAGAACCCGCTTCCGGCATTGATCCTAACAAGCCCCGTAGAGACGCAATTGAATCCCAAGCGCACCCCCCCCAAAAAAATTATCAGAACCCGAGCAAATGAGGCATCATATGCTTCTAAATGGCGCGTTAAAGGTTAAAGAGACGAGTAAGGCCATTTAGGGGCTTTTCTTACACCAAGGAAGCTGGGCGTCCCACCGCGTGCGCGCAAGTTTCAGGCCACTCGCTCCCCCAACCCATTGCGCGCAAACGACTCGGGCAACGCTCCTCCGGATGTGCGCACACGCAGCCGAGCGGACACGTGTCTGCGCGGCGCGATTTCCTACACGCGGAAACGCTCTTCCCGGGAGGCGGCGCCCCCCACCGGGATGGAGCTCCTCCAGGGACAACGAGGGAGAAGAAGGCATCGCTGCCTCGCCAGCGCCTTTTGGCCCCCATCCGCTCCTCGACACCCGCGTCCCGGGAGCCCCGAGATGGCTACCGACACCCACAGGGCGCAACCCCCTCGCCTCACACCCCATGGCCCTGGATGCCCGAGCGCCCACAAAATTCCCCGTGGAGGGCACCCACTAATCTGGGTGCCAGGGCCATGCACGTCGCATGGGCACCTACGGCCCCGGGCACCCACGCTTGTGGGGCCAAGTTGGCACCGCTACACCCCACCCAGCCTCGCTTTCCTGGTCCCCAGGCACGAACCCCGGCGAAACCATTGTCTCCAAGCCGCCTCCTCCTCCTCGCTCCTTACCATGTTTCCTCGACGGCAAGGAAGCAAAAAAACAACGAAGCGGGAGAAGGAGGAGCCGAGTCTTCCTCACTAGTCGACCCGTTGAGGGAGCCGCCGGTGAGCCAAAACTTCGTCCGAACTGCGGGACGGGTTGGGGCGGGGCCTTTTATAGGTCTGGGAGCGTGTCGTCGGCAGCAGGGGCGGAGCTTAGCGGAGGGTGAAGGAGGCGCCCTACCCCGCCCCTTCACCGGCTCCTGATTGGCGGGTTCGAATTTCCCGAAAGGGGAAGGCGGGCGGGCCAGCGAATGAGGAGGGGAGAAGCGGCTACCGCCATGAATGGAGGCGGGGGGGACAAGGACCCCGTTTCTCACAGAGGAATTCATAGGAGCTAAGGGCGTAGCCAAGGGGAGAGCAGCTGCCCGCCTTACAGATCAATAAAAATACTTAACTAAGGTTCTTTGCCCCCACCAAAAATTTGGCCCTCCAACAAAATATCTTAGGCCCCCCCCCCAAATTGATGGCAGGGGTCCCAACTTGAATAACTTGAATAAAATAAAACATCGATCACGTGGCATGGTGCATGCACACCATTTGAATGGCAATGCCTATAAACTGGGGTGGGGCCATATAAACTGGGGTAGGGGGGCCTAAACCCCTTAAATATTTTATTGAAGCAGGTCCGAAGACCCCTCGGCCCCTAGGAGTTGGCTCCTATGGTTGATGGACATTGCCATTCAAAAAGTGTGCGTGCACCGTGCCACGTGATCGAGGATGTGGGGCGGGGCTTACCCTGTCCCCCCCCCACCTCCAAATGTATCATTCAAGTAGGTTTGCCATATTGCAAAAAAGTAAGAACCAGGACGCCCCCAAAACCGTCGAGCTTTTTTTTACCAAAGCACTAAAAAAACAAACGCGATTTGCCAAAGATCCAGGACAAAGCGCCGCTTTTTAGAGATCCCCCCCCCGTAATGTCCGGGACTTTCCGGACGTGTGACAGCCCTACTTTAAGTAGCCCCCCCCCCCGCATATAGCTGTTCAAAAAGTGGAAGCCTGTTTATTTTGAAACTCAGTTCCAACCTAACCAGAGGGATATTCGTGGGGCTTAACAGACCGTTATTCCTCCGGCAGGCAATTAAATGTGTTGGACAAAAAGCGACCCGCCCCTGCGCAAATTGCGCAAAATGAGCTTTGCGCCCTTGCTCTTCCCGCCGGTATCTACTTCCTGCTGCGCCCCATTGGTAGTGATGCGTGCGGGGGGTGGGGGGCAGCGCATGGGCGTAGCCAAGGGGGGGAGGTGCATCTGCCCCCCCCCATAATCAATAAAAATCAGTAAAACCACACAGCTGAGGTTCTGCCTTCCCCTAGCAAAAGGCTCCCCCCCCCCAACAAAGAACCTGCCCTGCCCCCCCAACAAAAATCCTGGCTACGCCCATAGGGCAGCTACGGGGGATGGAGATCCGGAAGGGGTGATGAATGAGGTAATTGAGGGAGGAGCCCAAGAAGAACAACGAAGGAGGAATCAGCCGGGTTGGGAACAGCTGGCGAGCGCCAGTTTCCCCCGATTCCTGCTTTGGAATTGCCGGCGCTGCACATTCCAGAGGGAAAGCCCTGCTGGTGCACTAGAAGCGAAAGCCACACACAAAAAGATGGGTGGGAAGAGGCTCCTGACGCATCAAAGCAGCGCTTCCCAAACTTTTCCCCCCTGTGCGCCGCACTTTCAGAATAAAAAAAAAAGATTTTTTTTCTTTAATTGCTAAAGAAATAACATGGGGGTGGGGGAAAGGAAACAACTCATTTTTTTTAACCCCCCACCCGTTTTTACAAATACCATTTCCATTCAAATGTAATCAATTTTATACACACACATATATAAAGGGACCCCTGACCATTAGGTCCAGTCATGGCCGACTCTGGGGTTGCGGCGCTCATCTCGCTTTATTGGCCGAGGGAGCTTCCGGGTCATGTGGCCAGCATGACTAAGCCGCTTCAGGCGAACCAGAGCACGGAAACGCCGTTTACCTTCCCGCCGGAGCGGTACCTATTTATCTACTTGCACTTTGACGTGCTTTGAGTTCACCCCGTCGCAGGGATTTGAACCGCCAACCTTCTGATCGGCAAGTGCTAGGCTCTGTGGTTTAACCCACAGCGCCACCCGCATCCATAGATATATATATAGGATTCCCCAAATCTTTGGACCTCCCTCCATCTTCTCATGGTTTCCATTGCAAACCTTTTCCTACTGCATCTTATGACATTTATCCAAATTTTGTTTCTATCTTATTTTAACCTTATAATTATTACATTACAAGTGTTCTATCGATCCTGCTAACATTTTAAAATGTTTACAGTGTTCTTCTAGGTAATCTATAATTCCACCCCCCCAATTCTTTATTAAATTCCTTGTCTTCCTTGTTTCTAAATCTCCCAGTCAGTTTTGCCATTTGAGCATAGTCCATCATCTTGTATATTCATTCTTCTCTGGTTGGAACTTTTATCTTCCCTCTACCTCTGGGCAGAAAGCATCTGCACAGTTGTTGTTGCATACATAAAAAGGATTTTCTGCTCCCTTGAAGGAAAAAACTAGCCGTGTTTGATTTATAACACAACTTTATAACACAACGTTAAAAAAAATTACTATCCTATACTATACTACGCTGAAATGTTTATTATTATTATTATTTATTGAATTTATATACTGCCCTATACCTGGAAGTCTCAGGACGGTTCACAGAACAAAATCAAAATATAAAACCACAAAATAAGTGTTTTAAGTGTTTCTTTGCCCTTGCATCTTCCTGCCACACTTGCCATCCTCTCCTGGCACCAGTGAAGTAGCGTGGGGGGGCGTGGCCTGGGCGCACAATCTGGGGGGCACAGGAACTAGGTGCCCCCCAAAGAGATCTCCAGCCGTGCACCATTCGAGGAGGTGTGGGTGGCCTTGCACAATTAACCCTTCACTTAACACTGATTTAAGTGCTTGCAGGACCACTCCTATTCTTGGAGATGGCCCAACTGTGGGTTGACGGCTTTGCTGGCCTGGATCATGAGACCCCAAAGCCATCAAGCCCGGTTGGAAGCAGTGGAGTCATTTAGCCTCAGCCCTGGTTTCCCCAGCCGCTCTGGGTGGCTTGCAGCATACAGTGGTACCTCGGGTTACATACGCTTCAGGTTACAGACACTTCAGGTTACAGACTCCGCTAACCCAGAAATAGTACCTCGGGTTAAGAACTTTGCTTCAGGATGAGAACAGAAATTGGGCAGCGGCAGCGGGAGGCCCCATTAGCTAAAGTGGTGCTTCAGATTAAGAGCAGTTTCAGGTTAAGAACAGACCTCCGGAACGAACTAAGTACTTAACCTGAGGGACTACTGTATCTAAAAACATAATATAGTGGTACCTCTGGTTAAGAACTTAATTCGTTCTGGAAGTCCGTTCTTAACCTTAAAGTGTTCTTAACCTGAGGTACCACTTTAGCTAATGGGGCCTCCCGATGCCACACAATTTCTGTTCTCATCCTGAGGTAAAGTTCTTAACCTGAGGTACTACTTCCGGGTTAGCGGAGTTTGTAACCCGAAGCATTTGTAATCCGAGGTACCACTGTAAAAACATCAAGCATTAAAAACTTCTGTAAACAGGGCTGCCTTCAGATGCCTTCTAAAAGTTGTGTAGTTATTTATTTCCTTGACATCTGAAGGGAGGGCGTTCCACAGGGCGGGTGCCGCTACCGAGAAGGCCCTCTGCCTGTTTCCCTGAAATTTCACTTCTCGCAGTGAGGGAACCAGCAGAAGACCCTCAGAGCTGGATCTCAGTGTCTGGGCTGAACGATGGAGATGCTCCTTCAGGTATACTGGGCCGTGGCCATTTAGGGCGTTAAAGTTCAGCACCAACACTTTGACTTTTGCTCGGAAACATACTGGGAGTCAGACTATCCGGGAGCAAAGGTCCTGCTGGTGGGCAACCTAAATGCAAGGTTAGGTCCTGATGACCCCAGTTTAGAAACCAAATACAGGCAAAAAATAGGGTATCCTGACGACTTTGGCCCGGAGGCTTTACAACATTCAAATTTTGCTGGAGCCTGCCTCCTCAAATTCTCCAGGCAGCTAAGTCTTCATATCCTAAATGGTTGCACCAGGGGCGACATCCCCAGGGAATATACATTCATGTCTGGGGTAAGATCCAGCACAATTGATTATATGTTGGCGGACAGCGAATTGCTAACAAAAATAGTGAATTTAAAAGTGCTCCCATTCATAGAGGGGGACCATTTCCCTTTGCACCTCCAGGTGTCTCCGTTAGAGTCACCCTTCCTGAGAACAGTATACCCTGCAGAGATCACCGCATTAGAGCGACCTGGTTGCTGAGTCAAATGGACCCCTGCACTTGACTCCAAACTGAAGAAGATTCTAACCTCTGAAAAACTCCGTACAATTTTAACTGGCTTTGGGAATAATCCTAGGCCAGAGGACCTAGTTTCCAAGTATGAGAGCCTGCTCCAACAATTAAAACCCTATCTTTTTAATACCACAGAGAAAAGGCCAACTAAACCAATAACATCAAATAAACCCTGGTTTGATTACACCTTCTTTGAGGCAAAGAAAGCCCTGCAAAATGCTTACAAAGCTGCCCTGACAGCCAAAAATTCTGTTAGACATCAAGCCTATCTTGCTGTCCGTGCCCTAAAAAAAGAGTATAAAGACCTAATACGCCACCAAAAGAATGCCTATACCAGAAAATGTTGGCTAGAATTAATTAGTGCGGCAAAAGCAAAAGATCAGACACTATTCTGGAAACTGGTAACTTCTGGCACCCATAAAGCTATTTCCCCCTTAACCTCACAAATTCCCCCTAAGCCTGTGGGTCTCATTCTTCCAATCTTTGTACGAGGACGCTGAACCTCCACTACGGAATTATAATATAGAACAACTGGCTAAATGGCCGCCTGTTTCAGTAACTGAAGTGAAATCGTACTGGGAGCCAATGTAGTTCTTTCAGGACCGGTGTTATATGGTTCCGGCGGCCACTCCCAGTCACCAGTCATAAACCGTGTGGAGGTCCATAGGCAATCAAAATCTCAGGACCTCGCTTGCAAATTATCTCCTAATACGTTTTGGATTTTACCAGCCAACACTTTTAATAAATCAATTTT